TTGTTTTATTACCCTATAAAATCAATGGATCTTCTTTACTTTCATGAAGACATCTGAATAACAGAAGTCACAGATCAACTGATGATCTTTTCCAATGATTTCAATGCCTTCCCATACTGCCCACCCGTACTGTTCGACGTAATTGCAGGACCTTACTGACTTTTTGCGAATGCTAATAACTTCAATGGAGTGTGGATATCATGACCATCTTCTATTTTAAATGAAAGTGATTTTAGCGCGATGCTGTTAGTGTTAGAATTGTTATAGGAAAGTAAAACTTCCTCACCCGTTTCCAGAGCATGGAATTACCTTATTCAATTAATCAGGAAGATAGCTTTTTGTTTAAATGAAACTTGACTACAGATGTAACATATAAAGATACGTAATGTAATATTTTATACGTTCGAACGAATGACGCTTTATATTTTAAGAGAAACTATTGTTTATAGCATAATATCCATTGTTGTTTCTTTGTCGACCTGTGTCTCATAAAAAAACTAAATATGAATCGTGGAAAACCCAATCATTTCTCGTACTAAGTAAAAACGTATTAAGTCGGTAATGACTTGAGTGCAGACTTGTACCTGTGAGAACTGTGCTTTCAAGACGTCAAGAAGATTGTCCACGACCAAAGTGTAAAAAGGGAGTTGGCAACTTTACTCAAAGGGGAGAAGTCTGATATTGCCGTACGACGTACGACGTGTAAATTTGTATAACCGGTCTTCCAATAATTGACTGATTTATTATTCAGTCCTTCCAGACGGGACAACTTCCTGCATTATCAGTTCACTAAGTGAAATGCATCCCGGGAGGTTTGCGTTATTCTATGAAGTTAAAATTTACACTTTAGTGAATCATTTGTAATCATATATCACCGTTAAGAATTTTTTCTTTACTCTCTTCTAAATACTGGAGACATTCTATATAATAGAAAATGTCAGTCATATATAATACTCGAATACCCATTTCTTAAGTTTTTTTAACAAAATTTTAGCTTTTGTTTTCCAAAAATAGAGAAATTATCAAATTATTAATTAATTTTCTCCTATCGTCATTGAAGTTAACATTGTGCATGAGCTATCAGATAAGCAATCAATATATTGAAGTTAGCATTGTCATTAATTGCCTATGTCGTATAATTTCCTACCTCTCCAACCCCGTCTTGTAAACGTGCTCGTCAGCTGACTGTATCATGTCTCAACACCTGGCCGATCATTACAGCCTCCATGGAGCAGTTCGGTACAAGGTCATTTGCTGCTCCCCTCTCCCCCCCCAGACACCTGATGGTGTATTATCCGTCTTGCTCGCCCTCTCCGTCGTCCTATCACAACGCAATCAACATAGACCTTCATCCCTTCACACCCTCTCTCCCCATCCACGCTCTCCCCCGCCCCGCGTGTCCATCATACCGCTACCATCAGGGCACGGAGGGCAGATATCTGAACAATCCGCATGTCATTTATCATTTCACAAAAAACGTACGAATCGCTTATTTTTAACAGCTGCGTTCACTTTAATCTTCTCTTCGGAAGTCCTTTATTTAAGTTGAAATTATAATAAAACAAATCGAATCTCAAATTGTATTAATTTAATGGACTAAAATATTATAATATTTTTAATGTTTAAAATGTTATAATATTATAATATGTTTAAAATATTAATACATTAACTTGAAGGAAAGTTGATTGGTTTGAACTGCCACTTTTAGATCGCGTCCCTGGACCAATATATCACTTGCAAATATTTCAGGTTCTGCCTGGAAAATTCAATTTTAATAGAATCTGCCAATGCTAGTGATGTCCTAAAATGAAATCCATTACCTTTGAATATTGTACTGTTTATTACTTCAGTGGAATTATTATTTTCAATAAAATAAGATAGAATATCAGTTTTCTGTATTTGAGTAATTGGAGAATATTTTGCTGAGAAGCCACTATTGTTACGTATCCTATAGTATACGTATATCATAGTATATACATATCATATGTTACGTATCATATATAGTGTAGTGTATTACGGTGTAAAAATGCCCAAGAGTTCATCTTGAAGTATGGGAAGGCTGATCAATTTTGAGACATGACTTTAAAGGCATACATTAGAGTTAATTTTCAAAGTTTCAACTGCGTAAACGTTTACATACCTGATGTATTATTGGAGCATATAAATCATGTACCTATTCTCCGATTTATTTGCAGTGACTTCTGATATTTAATCTCTGGATTGCGGTTATCGCATCGGGAGCTTTAATGCCAAACATTAACGAAGCTCCTGATGGGATAACAGCGTTCCAGCTCAACAAACATCAGAAGTCAACATAACTAAATTGGAGTGTAATCACTAGTTAATTAAAATGTATTCTCTCTTTCACCTATCTGAATGTCTTTATTCTTTGTGGATCAGTAACAAGAAATGTAAGAGAAACCAAAATAAATTTCAATTGTATTACAATTACAAGTGTTATGAGGGAAAAAACGTATAATGAACGTAAATGAAGAAAAATAACAGAAAGCCTCACTCTTTTAGTGTGAAAGATGTCTCAGAGCATCAACTAATGTCAATGCAGTGATTTTGATAGGGAAGTCCCAGGTTTTGAAATAAATAAGTGGAATTCAGCCACTATTTGAATGAGAATTCTAGCGGCTGGCTGCTTTGATTGGTAGTTTTCCGTGGTTTCTCCTATCAACACTAGACGAATACCGGAATAGTACCCTAACAAGTAGGCCAGGGAACGCGCGCGGTCTTTCCTTCCTGTTCCTTGTCTTATCCCCACCTCTTACTTACAGTCACTTACACTTACACATGCTCTCCTCTACCACACTTGTCTAGAAACCAGTCAGGAGCTTAGAGCGTGTCTCCATTGTGGCGGTATCACGCTGCTGGGAGATGCATTGTTGAGGAAAATCTCGGCAAGCTGATGTTCGTCGGCACCGGATCTCAAATCTATCAGGGAAAGATCACCGCCACTTCCCGCAATGACAACCGCACTACACTTACGGCACAGATGGCCTTGGAGTTGTCGCGCCTGGAATCACCAATCAATGAAACAACTCCACCATTAGCCCTTTATCTCCTATCGCCATCATCATATCTTTCGTCGCCTTCCCCGACGTCATTTTTTTGAATTCTAACTCTAACAGATATAACACCACATCCACTGCGATAGTGTAAAAGCCACTCCTATCGTCACACTACCCCCTGTTTATGGTAAATTAATAACGCCACCAACAGTACCTAATTCTTTCACAGACTTCTAATATCAAACCATCGGCCGAGTAACCAGGTCACCCCAACGAACTGAACCACCATCATTAAATCGAATGCTAGCACCAAAAAGATCTATGCAATATTTCATTAAATAATATCTTCATCTCCATTAACACAGCCACAAATATTACAACAAACATGATTATGTTCCCAAATATCTGCAGCTATCACACATCTCTCCCCCTCTCCCTTCCGGCTGGACACCACTCTTGCCCCTGCTTCCCTCTCACTTGGACGGTTGGCCGCAGCCCTCCCGCTGGTGGCGGCGCCACTCATGACTATCGACCTGAGGTCAACGACCCTTCGGCGACGCAGCGCAACGCACCGCACCGCCTCCGGGGGCTCCGGAAGCCCCGCGCCACCCGCCCGCGCCGCGGCGCTTTACGGACAAGGGCTGCGTCCGACGGCGCTGCACCGACGCCCCCGCTGACCCCCGCTTTCGCCTCTCTCATTCCCCAAGTGCTTTCCGTCCGCGGCACTGCATACCGTCTACCCTCCTCCGCGCCCCCCGCGCCCCCGCATGGACAGCTGCACGATACCCGCCACGCCCCCCTTCCGCAGCCGCGTCCGCTCCCACCCTCAGCATCCGCCACGCTACTCTCGCTGGCAATGGCCTTAATGTCTTCCCACGCTTCATTTCCTTCACCTTCAACCCTCGACCTCCTCCATTTCATCCTCGACTCTTTGCGCCTCCTTCGCACCTACTACACCCTGCCCCGCATCGCTTACCGCTTCTGCTCAAACGGCTCGCGCATCCTTCCACATGCTGCCCACTCAGCCTCCTCGTCTTCACTCCGCGGCCCCGCAATCCGCCAGCATCCGCCCAACATCCGCCCAGCATTCTTCCCTCAAATACGCCATCCGCCCTGGGATCGCCCCTACCCTGGCCGCGCACAGGCACCGGCTACGGCTTCCGCCTGCCTCCGCCTGTCTTGGATTTAACTCCCTGGCCTGTCGCGGCGTCCGTCCTTGTGAGTTCCTCCCGGAACCCCGCATCAACCCCCCAGTCTACCCCCAGCCGCATCCCCGCCCGGCTGACATCCATTCCATCGCGCCTCACTGCCCCACCTGCACCTGCACCTCCCACACCTTGCACACCCCCTGCACCCACCTGCCCACTGGCACCCACCCTGCTCATCCTGCACCCACCCTGCACCCACCCTGCACCACCCCTGCACCACCCCGCATCCCCTGCCAACCTGCACCCACCCTGCAACTTTGCCTGCAGCCCCTGGCACCTGCCCCCCGTGCCCCCACTGCACCACCCTGCACACCCTGCATCTACCGCTATAGTGCGCCTCGTCCACCACTGTCACCGTCGTATGTATATTTCGCAGCGTTCCCAAGTTTTTATTGCCTTGTATTTTTATACGGACTACAAGTTGCTCCGTATGAATAAAACATATCAGCTGTTGATTTGAAGACGGCGCGGCGCGGCGATTCTGCAAGCGAGCGCGGCGATACCAGCGAAACGTACGGCAGGGAGCTTAAAGAGAGATCCGAAGTCCATTCTGCCGTTCTTTACCAGGGCTGAGAAAGAGGCAGTTTACGATTCAGCCCAACGGGAATCAAAACTCGACCACATCAGAGGTAATAGTTACATTGTAGTCAGTTATCATATTTTAGGCAGAGAGAACTCCCTTATACTCTTATTGAATGTTGAGTCCCTTATACTCTTATTGAATCCCCATTTATTCTGAGTAGTCCCAGTATGATTATAGAAGCCAAACAGTTACCAGTATACCATCATGCATAATTTCATAATTGAATGGTTTAATTTGATAAGCATTTTTTAAGTACTAAAGTAAAAAAAAAAAAGATAACATATTAACAGCTCTATAGAAGACGTGATCGTATTGCTTTCAACACATTCAAAATTATAGCTTCAGAGTCATGATGTAAGTATTGTCATTGATGAAAGTAAACGCATCTATGATAGAGGCTGAGAGTTGGGCTACAAACTCCCATCAATAATCCAGACACTAAAAATAAATGAGTTTTGTTATCGATCAAGTTACTCAAATGGGCAACAAATTCAAAAAAAATATAATCGTTTCTATCACACTTTTTATATTTCTCCAGGTATCTCCTCAATGGTATATTCCTCCAGGTATCTCCCCATGCGGGGCGCCGCCCCAGCTGGGAGTTCTAAGCTTCCGTCTTGTCTCTCGATATGTGTGTCGTGTAGTGCATGCAAGCGTAAGAGTGTGTATGTGTAAGGGATAGGACCAGGAAGAGGAAGGAAACATCGCACCGGTAACTCCCCCACCCCCGCTAGGTTGGTGGCCAATTTGTATGGGTAATGCTCTGGCATTCGTCCGGTATTTAAGAGAGAACTCGCAGAAAACTACCGAGCAGCCAGCCTCTACAATTCTCCTGTAGACAACGGCTGATTTCGATGTGACATTTTAGCCAAGATCGAAAATCGCAGCCTAGGGCCTTCCGGTCAGAGTCGCTGCGGAGACGGCAGCAATGTTGGATCTTAGATAACGTAGCTGGCTAGTGCGTGCTGCTCCTCCAACGAACGTTGTCCTAAAAGGTGAAGCGTATCTTTTAGATAGCCTTTGTTTGTACTTGTTCCTATGCAAGCTCCAATGAAACCAACCGATGCTCGAGGGCGAAGCAAGCGAGATTCCGTGAAGCGAGGTCGAAACGCCCCCGGCCTCCCCGCCATCTTGTGCGTTCTGCGGCGCTCCGTCGAGAGAGGTCGCCCCTCCGCCGGCGACGCTGTTTGCATCGCGCCGGGAACGAGATTATGGGCGCGCTCCATTTGCATGCAGAAACTTTCGATGCATTTCAAATCGAAATAACTTCGTGCTCTCTCTCCCTCTTATTTCTGTTTGTTTTTCAATTAGCACTGCAATGCGGGCGAAATGAAACGCAGCTCGATTGTTTCTCTGTAAATTAAAACGCTTTTCACTGGCGAGATAATTAGAAGAGTATGCTGACTAATTGAGAATTACACGAAGTGTTCTGTGAAAAATCGCATCGGAAGTTGGGAATCATATTATTGAAGGAGTATGATAGATGTTAATATATTTGCAACGGGTGGGAGAAAAACAAGAACTTGAAGAGAAAAAAATAAATATTTTCTACATGAATTATTCTAAATCAATATACGATTAAATATTTAATGATAGGCATGATTAATCCTTAAGCATACACGATTCTCTTTGTCACAAACTTGATAGCTTGTCTATCTAAAACCTTTAGAAAGGTCTCTCATTAATCCTGGCTTCCTTACACTATTAGGTATTTCTAGAAGTGTTTTTACACATCGTTATATTTCATAGTACGTAAGGATCCGAAAAAATTGCAAGAGTGAAGAAAAACTACTACTTCTTGAAACTATTTCCTGGAACTCATAATAAATCAGTTTTACTGTATTGTGTATTTTTACACAAGCAGTTTGTTAATAAAAACACAGTTTTATTCTCCAAATGTTCGTACGCGAGAAGAATCCTAAATTTCCCTTCTAGTGTTAGAGTTGTCAACAGATTTACAAGATCAGATTTCTCGAATTTTCCCAAAAGGATTCGCTATATATCGGATGGAAAAAGGCTTAATTGGTTATTAAAGAGAGGTGTGACGATAATCATTGGAGTGTATTGATTCCGGAAAAGGCAAACACCTTTATCGAAAAAGCGATTCAATTTAATTTTGTCTCTCTTTACTTCGTCGTTTCCCACGGAAAATCCTACCATGAAAAAAGACGTTCTGTTCCGTTGCAGCGGAGGCTGTTAGAGGGATGTTTCCGGAACCGCGGTCTCCAAGAACGAAGTGACGCGCAGCCTTAAATATGCTGCCGTCGCCCCCACGAAAGGAGAGCTGCTTCGCGGAACCGCCCCTTCTGAGAGAGAAAATCCTCTCGGGGCGAAAGAGTGTCACGAGATAAAGCACTCTGTCAGCCTGAGTGGAGCAAGTGTTGCAGGCACAGTCATCTAAACACGCGCAGTCGAAAACTACGGGTTAGAGACATGGTCCATTTCACTTGGTCATTGGGGTGCATTTGGGATTTTGTTCCAACTAAATATCCCGTTTTTACCTGATCCCATTCATCATTTACCCGTCATGTTCATATCATCATCCATCCTGATCGAGGTAATGATCTGCTTAGAAAAGGGGAGTGGATAAAAGTGTAAGCCTTCTTCAGGGCCTATTCTCTTCAGCGGAGGGTGTCCATTATAAATATCAATTGATTCTTTCTGATTTCTTTTAGTAATTTTGTTATTATCGTTATCATCCTAAAATCGCCATCTAGTGCAAGGAAGAGATAATTTTCCCAAGAAAGAGGACATATGAAGGGAGAACCTCTCCGCCTTTCATCGGAGTATGACCGATATAATCATGTCAGGGCTTCTTGCTGATTCATATCATTAAAATTATTATCAACACTGTCTTCTCATCATCATTCATATAGTGGAATACAATGATCTGTCTAGGGAAGAGTAGGGCATAATAATAACTGCCTTCTCTTTTCCCTATGATCAGATATTACTGTGTTACTCAACATAAAATGCAGCAAATTTTTTTGTTTTTTTAATTTCTCTCTCAATGCCCATCAACTCTATTCTTACAATTGAAGCTAAAGTGAATCACAACAGTATTTCTCTAAGTAGAGCGTACATTACTACACAAGCATCTTGCAAGCATTTTGAAATTGTAAATACTGTCTTTATTTATAAAAAATAAAGCTTGTGATGGATCCATATCGTTCATAACCGTTAGGATGCTCCCACGTCTTTCTAATAAACTCTACAATGAAACCACGAGTTACAAATTCGTTGATGGATTTCTTAGTAACACTGCGACATGAACACTATCTTAGTTTGACGCTAAATTCTCGCACTGCTTTTTCAGAACAGCCCCATGTACGGCGTCAGCATTGTTAAATACGCCTAACAGAAATGATCGTGATAATGAACTTCAGTGTCAAGGGAGGGTTTTAGTTTATTTTTAATCATTAATTTTATATTAACTCAAAGCGAGTTCACTTAACCTCATGATACTTGAAATGTTCCTGAACACAACCATTTCCTTCCGTAAGAAACTTCCGTAGTTCCGTAACAAATTTGTACCTAACCTGGAAACGTCGCAGCGCACTATACTACACAGGAAATGTTCTCTGTTGTTATTTGGCTGGGCTAAGCGCTCTCTTTTCGTGCCAATCTCTCAATGGAACTCGCTTTGCTTGGCACTGGTGTACCCGAACGATCTAGGTCTAATGGAGTAATTGATTGATGAGGTTACGGCCTCATCAACTGTTTATTAATCCCGTTAGTGCAGTGAATGTTTCATCGAAGGTGATGATCGGTGGTCTTTGCATGCTAGATGGGGAATTCCCGCGCCAACCACACGTCGACTAGAGGAGGATTTCCCCGTCCAGGTATCCAAGCTCTTATCTTCCTACATCTTTGATTGTGTAGTGCCTGTAAGTGTGTGTGTGTGTATGTGTTCAGATGAGTACAGGGGAGGATAGAACGAGGAACAGATTCGAAGTATCGCGTGCGCCCCGTGGCCCGATTGTTAGAATACTGCTCCTGTATTCGCCTCGAATTGATGGAAAGAATCAGAGAAAGATACCGATGAGAGCAGTGGGCCGTTAGAATTTCCCTCCAGACACCCTCTGAAATCAACCTAGTTATAGAGTCAATGACGAAAATCCGCCACTCGTACCTTAGGACATCCCGGGCAGAAGGACCTTTGAGCTAATCCCAGTCACTCCCATGGAGCTTCCTTTTATGCCTACTGGGTGCGCACAATTTCGGCGAAGACAAAATAATATTACTTTAAGAAGGTTACAGTAATGTCGTAATTTAATTAGAGTTTTAAAGCAGCAATATGCTTCGTTTTGTGTTGCAAGAATAACTGTAGTATTTTCGAATCCTCGTATTATTGGTTGTGATGTGTGTATTGGTAGATTTAGGAAATGGAAAATAGTTACAAACTAATGAGCCTTCTATGCGGTCTGCTATCTTTGGTTTAGTACATAATAATAGACTTGATCAGGTTATTGGTTGTGGTTTTCAGAATCTGCCGAAAGTTAATGTGGGGCTTCGTTATTATTTATTATTTGATATTAATATTCTCATTATTTGAGAGTATGATATTACCAATTTTTTTCTCACTAGATAATTTTTAATAAAGAATTAATCGAATGAACATAACTTTTAAGGTTCCCTTTTATTAACTTTTTTAAATAGTAAAGCATGTTTTGTTTGTGGCTTCCTTCGAAATTTGTCACTTGGAAATTAGCAACCGTATCATCTTTTAAATTCTCTAGGAAGTCCATTTCTCACACAAACTAAGAAAAGAA